AGAGATGTTACATCAGCTTATTGAAACATGTCCTTACTGCTTCCACTGCTGCATTCTCTACCTGTTGAAACTTTTGGGTGGCTTTCAAAGGCAGTCCCATGTAAAGTGCATTGGAACAGCAAAGTCATGAAGTATAAAATATGTTATAGATGTTTACTTAAGAAATGTTCACAAAGAATGTTGATTAATAGGCATATAATCCCTTTATACATTGAGGTACAGAAACAACAAGATACAAAAATCTACATAGTAGCAGAGACAAGCACTAGATGACTCATCAGCTCTTTATTCAACAGAGCTTTGGTTAGAAAAATGTAAAGAGGCTTCTGTTTACTGTTATCTGGAAGTCAGCCAAGAGGGCAAGAGATATTTTAGAAAATAAACAGCCCCTTTGCCAAGCAGGTTAAAAACAGAGGCCTTGTATTTCCACAACATCTTGGTATCTTCAAGATTCTCACTCTCGTTTACTTTTTTTGGCTAAAGTCCATTGCTACTTTTCCCTTTCTGTTATTTCAGATTGATCTCACTTAGCTCAGCTTCAATATTTATGGCCACCTTTCAACTTTTAGTCATTGTGATTACTAGAGAAAAAATTCTTCTGAAACACACCCTACAATTCACAACCAAAATCTGTGAGAACCATACCAGTCTTGGCTCTCCTTCATTATTGCATTAATCTCTTATTAACATTTGGATTCCAACTATCTCCTTCAGCTTTCAAAGATATTGTTGAAAAGCAACCATCCCAATCAGGGGAAGGTCTTGAGAGGGGAATTAGTTTGGATTCACCATATAAACACAAGATGGCAGGGTATGACATCTCCTCCTCCACAATGCCTTTGAGCCTTACTTGGTCTTTCCCATATAAGCTGCCAGTCCAGGGAGATTCCTGTATTAAAGACAGAGAGCAATAAAGTAGCTAGTTTGAATTTACATGTGACTGGTTGTTTGAAGCTGGTTATTTGAATCTACAGTTTTAGAATTCTAGTCTATTGTATTATAGGCAATACTAGATGGTCAAGAGAATATAATCCAAACAGTAGCAACTGTAATACAATTTATTTATTCTTCTAGTAAAGAACTATTAACATTGAAATCTAAGTAATGCAATTTTATTTTTCACATAAGGTATAACAATATCAGTACCTACTAATAATCTTTGAGTATAGCAAGTAACAAAATCACAGTGATATCTATGAATTAATATTACTTTAATTAAGAAGAGAAAGCAACAAAAGCGGAATGGAGAAATCAGTTCAAACATCAATGTACTTTAGTCTCAATCAGTAAAAAAACAAGATGAAAGCTCAACACATAGATAGTCCATCAAAAATAGACTTGATTTTCAACAGAAGTCTACAGATGTCTCAGCAAAAATTGTTTAAAAAAACACTGTTCTTGATACAACTTTTATCAATGAAAAATAAATATGGGAGAAATAACCACCTTGGTTACAGATCATGGAGAATGCAGCAAAACATTTCTTGAAGAGAAACTACTGAGAAAAGTTATTATTAATGTTTATTGTGGTGTTTTAATCCAATGGAATGGCTTGGTTTATAAATGTTAATAACTTTTCCATAGCAATTCAAGTAATTAAAAGATCCAGGTATAGGATTTGTAAATAAATACATAAATGTAATACAAATTCAAGGATTACCAAGAATCATATCATGCCATATTAATTCTCTTTCTCTATGTTTCTTATTTCTGTTTTTATAGTATGGATTTATAAACACATGCCTGAAGTCTCTGGTGGTTGAAAAATATGGTGAAGAAATATGGGAAAATTTAAGGTAAGTTATCCCTAGAAAAATTATTCAGAAAGTTCAAATGTTAGAAATTGCTTAAAGCCATTATAATAAGGTGTATAAAATCCTTTGACAAAGTCTAACAGATTTATTAGACTCTTGGAGTTATACAATGTGGCTTGATAGATTATTCAGTAATTAATCTATTATTAATATGCCTGAACTGAGCTTTGATGGGTCCTTTGATAAAATTTTGAATGAAGTGGTCTTCTGAAGGGAAATGCTGAACTTTGTTACCTTTGGAGCACTAGATTGGACCAGTCGTCCTGCTTCAATTCAGAAGCAAAAAAAACCCCAAACCAACTCTTTTTCAACCAAGTCAAAGTACCAGAGATGGACTGTTGTTGGTTC